ATCCCTTCCCTTCAGCAGGTTGACTGTGCCACTCAGCCTGGTGTCATGAGCAGACTCGGTCATGGTGCACTCGATCCCACTGTCCAAATCCCTTCTCCTTGTCTTGGGTAATGAGATCTTCTGCATCCTACCTGAGAGGACCCACATTTTCCCTAGTCTTTCTTTTACTGCTGATGTACCTAAAGAAGACTTTTTTTGTTACCTTTGGCCAGATTTAATTCTGCCAGTGCTTGGCTTTCCTAACCATCTCCCTGGCTGTTTGGACAATTTCTATGTATTTCTTTCAGGCTACATTTCCCTCCTTCCACCCTCTCTGAGCTACCTGTTTGTGTTTAGATTGTCCAGGAGCTTGTTTGTCCATGAAGGCCTCCTGGCTTTCTTCCTTGATTTTCTCTTTGTAGGGATTCATTGCCCTTGAGACTGGAGGAGACAATCGTTGAATATCATCTAGGTCTCTTGGGCCCCTCTTTCATTTAGAGTTCTATCCCATGGCACTCTACCAAGGAGGTCCTTGAAGACACCAAATACTGCTCTCTGAAGTCCAGGGCAGTGAGCTTTCTCTGACCCTCCTCACTGACCTGAGGATCTTAAACTCCATTGCTTCATGGTCACTGCAGCCCAGGCTGCCCCTGAACTTCACATTGCCCATCAGCCCCTTCTTGTTGGTGAGAACAAGGTCCAGCATAGCACTTCCCCTTGTTGGTTCTTCAATCACTTGGAAAGTTGCCATCAGTGCATGCTAGGAGCCTCCTGGATTGCCTATGCCATGCTGTGCTGCCCCTCCATCCTTGCCATCTTGGGCTTTCATGATGGCCAATGTTTCAGTCTGATTAAAAAAAGAAAAAGAAATCATTGTGTGATTGTTGTGTATTCTGAAGCCAGATGGTAAGCATATAGGGAATAGCTTTATAAATCTTCATTAATAATACTTTTGCATATTTCCTTGTTCCATAGCAGATACTTATCAGAATTTGTCATAGGCTGCCTGTTTGACAAACTTCTGTTTTGCTTCAGATGAGAAGTGTAGCAGTTTCTATTTCATTCACTGTTAATGCCATATGCAGTCCTTAGGCTGGCCTCTTGCATTCCAAGTGCCTTACTCATGGCTGAGCCTGTCCCTGCACCTTGGTAGTGCAGCTTTGACCCCAGCCAGCAGCTGTTGTGTCAGGATGTGTTATGGGAAACTAGGTGGTTTTCATCCAGGAAGCTGAGTGCCTTTAGAAAGACAACCATCCGTCTTCAGCTTGAACTAGTGCAGTCTTTTGACATTCATTGGGTTTTGCTCTAGCAAAACTAGAAAATAGCTGAAAACAGTAAAGAACACCTGGGAATACAAATTACAGTGTTTGTGTGGTTCCCCCCTCCTGTACTACCAATCAATTTAAGTCAGGCAGGGAGAACTGGAAAGTTCAGGTTAATTTGCAGGTTGTTAGAAGCTGTTGCAGGCTGTTAGTGCTGGTCAAGCACTGAAAATAAGGCTTGTCTTTGAATGGCATGAATTTTGAAACACTGAACACAGTGCTCACAGCAGTTTGAATTGTGAACCCTCTAATACGGAGAACTTACTGATGATTGAGGACTTACTGGTGCTGAGAACTTACTGATGATTTTCTTCTCTCAGAAAGTTTGCATGTTAGCCAAACGTTTGTGTTTCTTGGAAAATGTAATTCATGATACATCAGAACCACACCTTTCTGTATTCAATATTCAAGCAGTCTGAAAAACCTTGTTTCTTTGGTTTCTTAACATGCAAAGTCTGTAACTAATAATTTGGAAAATAGTTTTCTCTTAATTGAAATTGCCAGAGAAATTAACCTTTAGTTAACCACACTATGGGAAAACTACTACCAAATGGTGGAAGTTTAGTAAAAATGGAGACAGTGGAAAACAACTCCCAGATCATACTCTCACTTGAAAGTAGCGTTTTCTCTACCACATACATAGAATAAGAGACTGTATTTTTAAAACTGGGCTTGTTCTTTGTTGTCGTGGTTTTGTTTTGGGTTAATTTGCTTTCCACCCCCCACACAATTACTACTAGTTGAGAGAAGGTTTTTGCAGACAAAAGAGAGACAGGATTTGGGGAAAATAGTATAAATATTTATTACTAGTAAAACAAAAACTACTAATAAATTAAAAACTAAAGAACTTAATTATATCTACAACAATTTCTACTCAAGTTGAAGTGTAATATATATACAGAAATACTTCTTTCCTTTTTATACTAGTCCAAGGAGAAGAAGTAGTTTTATTCTCTATTTTCGGAGTTCCACCTCTCTCTCTCTCTCTCTAGTAATAGATTTTCAGTAGCAGCAGTATTTTCATTGCAGCTGGAACTTTTTCTCTCTCTTTCTCGCTCTGTGTTGGCTTCCAGGGCTGGGCTTACCCCCCCTCCTGGGCTAAGACCGAAGGCTGGGGGTTACCCAGGTCCCAAAGGGTCTTCCTTCCATAGGCTTGCAAGGGGACACTTGCCTACTATGGATCTTCTTCCATAGGGTTACAGGGGATAATGGCTTAAGAGTTCACCTCTGTTTCCCTATGGAGGTCCCTCCCCATGGGAGAACAGTCCTTGATAGACTTCTCGGCATGGGTCTAGCACGGATCCCACACACACACGGATCCCAACATGGGCCGTCTCGCTCCAGCATGAGATTTCTCAGGGTTACAAAATCTTCAACAGCAGTATGGATCCACACACACACGGATCCCAATATCCCACCTGAGTCATCACTGCTCCAGCACAGGTTTCCCTCAGGGTCACAAATCTCCACCAGGACTCTGCCTCACTTCAGTCCTTCTCATGAAGTCTCGGTTCTCTTTGGTACATCCACAGACTCCTCTATCAGCCGTATGGGAGGTCTCCTTACTCCAACAAACTTTTACAGGTGGCAGGGATTTATTTTCAGTCTTTTCCCTGCTGAGGAGAGAGAGCGAAAAGGGGGGAGGGAAACAAGCCCCCCCTTTCGCACTTTACTTTTCTTGCTGCAGCTTCAACTGCCAGCTTCGACCTTGGAAGCTCCGTTATCTTTCGGCTGGAATTCTTCCACAGCGGTTTCTGTCCAAGCAGTTCGTCTTTTAAATGTTTTTTTCTTCACTCTCTTACAAGAGAGAAGGGAAGACTTCAATGCTACACCTGCTCCCCCCACCCTGGCCGAAGCCGGGGGAGGAGGGAGTCTGGCCCTGCTTGGGCCCGCTACTCCTCTCCCCTACATGGCTGCTGCTACTAATTCCAACTGCGCCAACAAACCTTCTCTTCCGTTTTCTTGAAGATGTAATTAGCAAAGGCGTCACTGGACTTTTGATTGGCCTTTTTGTCCAGAAATTACCTGGACAAAACCATCCTCAGCCCCAGGGATGGGCTGGTGGGCGAAACCACGACATTTGTCTTATGTATTGAAGTGTTGCCGTTATGTCATGACAGTCCAAAAAACACACAAGAAGGCTGATTCAGGGCAACATAAGAAAAGGCCTCTTTTATTAAAAATCCCAGCTCCTTTTGTATCATTTTAAAAAAGCAGCAAGCAAGCAGTGAGCAAGTAGCAAGCAAGCAGCAACATCCTAATTGGCCACTCATCATTACTGATACACTTGGCAGCAATCGTGAGGCACCTGGAGATGTCCAAGGACAAGGCTGTGGTTCTTGCATACCAAATCTACAGACTCACAGTCTGCCCTCATTCCCCAATTAGCCTGTGTGTAAAACTTACTTATCTTCAAGGCCACACTCAAAAGTTTCCCAAGTCAATCTCCTCTTCCAGGGAGCTAACAGACCCGCTGTTAACCCCTACATTGAAGTAGAACTTTCTGGAGTTGAGAGAAGCTTTTGTGCATCACAAAAGCAGGAAATTACTTCAGAAGGTGTTATATTCATAGAATATATTAATGAAATATTCATAGAACTTTTGGTTTATTTTTAAAAGGGCAGCATAAACTGTAATCCAAATTAATACAGAATCTGTTCCAATGAACTTTTAGGTATTCTAAGAGGTAGATGTGGTTTAGACCATCTTAATAATGTAATGTTGATGTGGTAGCCATTTTTAAGTCTTAAAAAAGGCACAATAATTTTTTATTATTGGCAATTTTTTTAAATTGTGAAATTTCATTTTAAAATTTCTGGATGAATACAACATCCATATGATAGATACTGTTACTGCTGTCATTCTTAGTTAGAGGAGAAATAAAAGTAGGCTGAACATACAAGTATATGTTGGCTGTTATTTAAGGTAACAGTGTGGTTTGGTACTACTTCCTGTCTCAGAATAGCTTCTTTTGCACAAATAATATTGGCCAATTGACATTTTATATTTCTAAGCAAGTTAAACCAAAATGTTGTAGGAGATCTTAAGGTAAATTTTGCATTGTCTTGAAAATACACCATCATTTAAATGATGATTTTGGGGATTTTATCTTAGTTACATGAGAGCAAAAATGTATTAGTTTCTCATAATAGAAGGTTAGGGTTAAAGAGGGATTGAATGGTTTGACTGCAGATAGTGTTTGGATTCTACTTTATTGTTATCTGAGAAAAAATCCTACGCCTATTTGAATTATGTAGGATAGTGATAACTTGAGCAATAATAAGTTAGATCTTAAATCTTGTGAGTTGCCTTCTTTCTATAAAAACTGCATTTCCAAGCTCTTTTATTCTTAAATCCATTTTGTAAAATTTCTAGAGATGAAAAGTAATAATAAAGTATCTATAATAATCTATTATCAATTATATAATAACATAAGTACTGCTATTAAGAATATTAAAGTAAGTATAATGATAATGTAGTCTTTAACCTCTAATGATAAGGTAGTCTTCTTCAGCACTCTTTCCATTGAAGAAAATTATTAGCAATAAATGTATATGAAATTATTAATGTTAAGATCAAGTACACATATTTCTAAATACTGTATTAATCATATGATTGGTGGAAATGCTTTCTAAGCAAGATTATACTTATTACAGTTGGAAATCTTCAGTGTATTTTTGTTTTTCTTTCTTTATTTAGAAAATAAATGCTAAGCTTCATGATGGTGTATGTCAGCATTGCAAAGGTATCTTGGAGTGGCGAGTAAAATTCAGCAAGTACAAGCTACTATCAAAACCTAAAAAATGGTGAGTTAAGATACTTTATGTTAATTGCTGATTTTGTAGTTTTTGAACTTTTGGAAAATATTCTGGTTTTGGAAGCTTTAGGAGCTGCTACTATGTAACATTTTACAAATTTGGAGTCTACAATGACAAAATATATGCAGTGTTAATTTTCTAATTCATTAGTCTTTTTCCTTAAACTTTTGGGTAGAAAACACAGAGGAAAAGCAACTGCTTCCCTCTTTGCTGTTAAAAATGATTGAACTGTGGACCTGGAAGCTTCCAAGACTTGCAGTGTGTCCTCCCAAATAAAAATTCAAACTGGACCTGTTGTAACACAATTTTCTAAGTCCTTATTTCAAGTCAGTACTACAGGAATCTGCACATTTCTTTACTTTTGTGCTTCACAAATGTCTGCAATATATGCATTTCATTACCTCTTAGCATGTTTGCTTCTTTTTTGTAAGAAACTATAATTTCCTAAATATTAAAATGCTGCCATTGTCTGCACACAGTTCTGTATTATGTGTTTTTTATAAGTGCATAACAAAGATGATAAATATTTTAGCCTATCACAAACCTTTAAATTATTTTAATTTTCTGGACTAGATGCTCTCTGCTTACTTATTATTTGCTCAGGTCCTTAGCTCCTATGGTAGCAGACACAGCCAGTGTTTCAGCAGTGAAACCCTGAACTCAGAGAAACCACAGCTGGGCTGTGGTGTATGATGCAGCCAGCTTTGTCACAGTAGCTTGCTCAGTGTTTGTGTGTTGCTCTCAGTTACATTCTTCTAAAATACTCAGAAAATGCTTGAAGAGTTTCTGTAAATGTGTGTGTGCAACTCCCTGAGTAGATGATGTATTTTATTTTTACTTTCATTAGATTAAAAAGTCAATAGTATTGTTGCTGTTGCAGTTTGTTTACTTTTGAGGGCATGAGAACCAAGAAAAAGTGACTTTAAGACAGCTGCTTTACATGGAGTATATTGATCTGGGTTATGTTCTCCAAAGATGCAAGGCTTTAGATCAGCTTAATGTAAAGCCATAGCATTTTGGAAATTGCTTAATCTATAGGGTTTTATCATATTTTGAAAAAGAATAGGCTAAAACCTCTACATAACTAGGTTGAGTTTGTTGAGAATACTGTTCCATGCAGGATTATGTTTGTAGAAAACAATGTCCAGCACTGACTTAGTTTATACTCTGGTAAGTTTAAGAGCAGCATTTGAACTGGAAACTTTTTATTTGTAAGATCCATGTACCTTTTTATACCATATTCCACTTTTGTCTTTAAACCAGAAGTAGTAATGCAACTTTAAAAGTAAAAACTATCTAGTGAAATGAATGGAAACCTTTCCTTTCTCACTTTAAATATAAAAATTTTTGATTTAGTGTTTCTTTTTGAGTTCTCATTTTAGTAATTCTTCCTGAAAAAGGTAAAGGAGGGAGGTAAAAGGCAATGATATTGATAATGCCACTTGTTAAAATACCAGGTGTTTTACTTGAAACTGGCCTAAAACAAGTTGTTCCTCTTTTAGTACACTGTGTTTGAACACAGAATGTTTAATATGTGTCCACAATATTTTTCAATTGTGTTTTCTTTCTCTTCACAGTGTGAAGTGCCTCCAGAAGACTGTAAAAGATCCTTATCATATTATTTGCCGACCATGTGCTAGTAAACTGGAAATTTGTGCTAAATGTGGAAAACAAGAAGAAATAGTAATTCCGTAAGTAGCTCATAGGTTACATAGTTTCAGTACTGCACTGTTTCTTCCTCTTTTGATAAACCTTGTTTGGAAATTGCCAAGAAGCTGTTGTACTTTATGCCATGTTCTGAATAATTCCAACGGGAATCAGCAGGAGTAAATTTCGTCACTTTCTTCTGATGAAACTGGAGGTGAAATGCTTATTGATGTTAGTGGGGCTGAGCCAAAAAAAGTCTTACTTGGATAAGACTTTTAGCACCAAAAGGTGAATTACATATCTTCCTTAAAAGCAAAGCACTTCAAACCAGATTTTAGTGTAGAGCATCATAAAATATGCATAAGACATCTTACTGTTTGCATTTTATCTTTCACGTGGTGATTCAGTTACTAGTGAACATGAAAACTAAACAAGGACTGATATTGAGCACAGTATTACCACAGTATATTTATTAGGCTTTTGGGGTTTTTATTCTTTGACTGGAGTTCTCTCTTTATTGAGCAAGATACATAAAACACATTAATTTACTGGATTGAAAACTGTCCAACAGTTGCTTAGTTGGTCAAGCTTTTAATTTATTTATTTTTTTCCTTCGCAGACTCTTCCATATGAAATACTTTTTAATGTATAAAATACATACTTTACTGTGTTCTATGTCTTTCCTATTCAATGTGAAAGTAACTTCAGGTTATTTTTACTCTCCTTCTTCCCACCTCCTGCTGTCATCCACCCATATTGATATAAAATATTGGGAGAACATTCTATCATCCATGCCATTCTTGTTTAAATTCCAGAAGTGGATGGTGATAACATCCATCTTGCTTTTTGCAGGATTGACAAAGGACAAGGCAGAACTGAGAGTGAGACTACTAAAAACAGCCAAGAGAGCAATGGATTGGAGAATGAGCTGGATTTTGATACAAACTTCAGTAGTGATGAAGATTCTGATGTGCTTGAAGAACAATTTAAAAGTATGAACTTCTAAAGGACAGAAGTTCAGTTTATATGAGAAACTATATGCAATCAAAAGCAGTAAACCACTTTTAAACTGCTCTGAAAACCTGATTTGACATCTAAGGTCTTTACATGTAAATGTTGGCACTGTGTACTATGATGCTTTTTGAGGGTTTTGTATAAATAAATATTTTTGTGTATTAAGAGCAGAATTTCTTGTGAAAAGATTCAGAAATTGAATTTATAGGCACAGTTAGTTATTGTATATGTGTAACAACTTCCTGTTTCTCTGGAATAAAGCCTCTTTATATAATTGTGTAGTTGTTCTAAATTCAATATTACATGATTGTTGTATTGCCACTTGGAAAGCTGCCTAACTCTAGAATAAGTACAATCTTGTCATAAAAAAAGAAGAGCTAAACCAGCTGTAATGGCTTATTGAAGGAAGAACTTGCAAAATTCTGTCAATGAGTTTCTGAAGGGGGTCAAAATACCAAGTGGTCATTACCCTTACGCCTGTTGTTTCTTTTTTGTGGGGGGAAAAAAAAGAAGATCTAAATGCTATCACGAGTTCATGAGCCATTAATGCTTATTTACCATGTATAAGTATGCATAGCCACGTGGGAGTTTGTCTTTTCTCCCAGGCAACTAGCAAAGGACAAGAGGGACACAGTCTTAAGCTGCACTGGGGGAAGTTAAGGTTGGACTTTAGGAAGAACTTCTTTACAGAGAAGTTGTTTGCGTGTTGGAATGGGCTCCCCAAGGTGCTTGTGGATTCACTGTCCCTGGAGGTATTAAGGAAGAGAATGGATGTGGCACTTAATGCCATGGTCTAGTTGAATAGGTGGTGGTGTGTCGTAGGTTAGACTCAATCTCAGACGTCGTTTTCCAACCTAGTTGATTTTGTGATTCTGTGATTACAAATTTTGTGACCTTGTTACTACCAATGTTTTTTGAAGAAAAAACCTCAGACTACTTAGAGGCAGTGAAGCTGCAAAACTCCAATAGATGCTTAGTGCCGGAAAAAGTGGTTGTCAGTTGCTTTCAGAAGTGACTGAATCTGGAAGTCACGTTACATTGACAGATAAACCCTCCCAGCAGAGCAGCAGTGACATCTGACTTGGTGTTACATCTGTTGTCCTGCCACTTAACGTCAACAAGGGCAGAGTAAACAGGAAATATCACACACACACACTGCAGATGACCAGGTAGGGGTGTGGGTAGAGGGAGGTTAATGAGTAATCTGGATTTAGCTTCAGAAAGGATCTCTGAAAGGGAAACCATGTCACCAAAAGTGAGCTTGGTTTTTGAAAGTGACATATGTAAGAACAACAAATTGTCTTCCACTTGGAAAAATTTGTCATGGCCTAGTCCTTTGCCAAAAGATAAGAAGAAATCCTGAAATGATAGCAAAAGATGTCATGGGACTGGCAGGAGCTGTATAATGAGAAAATAAGGGGAAGGACTCTCTTCTCGAAGTGGTGGCACAACCTGTAAGCAGCAGGGGTAAGTAGAGCCACACACAGATAAGCCATGTGTAGCAACAGAATATAAAGAGTAGGGGAAGTCCTCTGAAGTCAGTATCTTCATGTCATACACCTAATGCTCTGTCTGGAGCTTAGGTGGGCGGTTGATACTAGAGATGATGAAACTTTGCTGTGAATTAATACAGCTGCAGAGGGGCTGCCTGGTGTTAGTCCAACCTCTCTGAAGACAGCTTTTGCTTCTGGGTCTATGTCTTTGGTCATAACTGTGGCTAAAAGATACACTACTGGAAATGATTGCTGCAAGACCATGCACAGTGGTGGCTGTGAATCAGCTTATAATGTTGCACCTTTGCAGGGAAGAAGCTGAGAAAACACTTCTAACAGGAATAAAAAGAACAATTTTAATGTTATTGTTTAATTTTGACTGAACATAGTTGTAACTGCATTAGGATATTGTTTTTCTATGACTTTAATAGTTCTGAATTTCAATGTTTTTTTCTTTTTCTTCCTTTCCATTATGTGAATCCTATATATAGGAGTATACATGGGTATGACTCCTTTCAATGCTGATCTTCAGTAAAAGAATATATAGGTGAGAAAATTTTTAAAAAAAGGACAAAGATCAAAAGTCACCAGAGATTTCTGAAAATATCCTCAGGGTATTCACATAAACAGAGTTATTTTTAGAGTTTTTAATTGAGACTTTGAAAGCTTGCTACCTCCTTTTCCACAAATAATAATGAATTTGTGTTTATAAACTTCAAAAGATAAGAAATAATAATGCTACACTGCCTGCAAGGTATTGAGATGCAGTTCAAACAGTATATTTAGGGTGACTGACTTGGAGTTTCAAGAATTTGTCTGGACCTTGTGGGTCCTCATGGAATACCTTACTGAAGAAGAGAATGATGGATGTTAATAATTAGTCATCTGAAAAATAAATGATGCATCACAAGTAATGCAGTGATGTTGCTGACAGATGAATTCCTGTTACCTGATTGTCTTTAGGAGTGTTACCAGTCCTCATTTGGCATGACTCAATGCTGAAGTAATTAATTAGATAATAGACTGTCAGCATGTGTAAGGCATGCAAGATGATTCTTAATTCACAAGGGGAAATGCTTATCACAGGCTTGAGCTATCAAAACTTGTCATTGTTGACTCATACACATTTCTAGAAAATAAATTCCCGTATATAGGGATTTCCTGGGACAGCTTAGATGCACTGCAGAATGAGGAGAGTCTGGTGTGAACACAGTGCTACCTCTTGGCATAATTCCTTAACAATCTCTTCTGTCAAAGTTCACAGGCATCTTGGAGGCATCCTATCATCAAATGTTTTGAAGGATACAAAAAACATTGCCCAGTGATTTACTTCTAGTTTTGCATGGGCTGGGCTCTTCTATTCTTGTCTTGGCTACTGGTTAATCTGTATTCCTCTAAAATACTAAGATAATACCAACCTCTGAAGGCTTATAGGACTACTGGTTAATTAGGAAAAACACGGCTTGTTTTCTTCCTATAATGAGGGTGTACTTGGATGTTGAGATGCAAATCATAGCATTAGCAAGGAAAATAGAAGAAAATATAGCAGGTAATCAAATGTGAGCCACCTTGTGAACCTCTAGCCCTACAATTATATATGTTTTCTTCATTTAGAAGTTCTCCTAAGTAAGCACATGCTGGTAGAAAATGCAAAACTAACTGCTTATTGAAAGCATCAGACTGACCTTCAAAGTTAATGAGGAAAGCTTTGTAAGTGACATGGAGAGACATTTAATTATCAGATACATAGGGAGCTGCTCAGGCACACTACCAGCATCTCAATTCTCCTGCATGCCTTTTATTCAAAACTATATGAAAAAGAAAGCATGTGCTCTGCATGCATGCTCTCATCACATATGATGAGTCTGTAAAGTAGGGTTCCTAAACTTTGAAACAGTTGAAAATACACTAGTATTCGAAGTGAACTCCTTCTAGGAATTGATAATATGTTCTCAGACAACCTACCTGTAACAGAGTAGAAATCAAATACCTGGCCTGTTTCAGACAGCAGACTTTTGTGACAGAGCCTCCAAAATAGTTAAGATGAAATCATGCAGGAGTTATCTTTTTTTCTTCTGAAGACAATGAGAAAACAACAATTTGTTCTAATAGAAAACAACTGACTTGTACTCGTAATTCAGTCATCAAATAGGAAGCTTGAATTCAAGGATCTGAAAACAAGGGCCAAATACCACATCCAACACATCCAAGATTTTACCTGAATCTCCACTTACATTTGCCTTTGACATAACTTTAGAAACTCATATTGGATGGTCTAGTGTATTCTTATAGCTATAAGTGCTTTGAAAACAGTACAGATATGTTTTTCTTCAGTGCAGAACACAGAAGAGGGTGGTTTTGTATTAAAAAAAAAAAAAAGAAAAAGAAGAAAGAAGATTATGCATGTTTCAGACTGGCAGCACTCACTTGAAATCTCTGATTTTAGGACACCTTATATTTTTGAGTCTCAAGATTGGAATATCTGTACTTCTTGCACTAGACTTGCAGTTTTCATGATCTTATGTGAGCAAGTATGACATAATATGTAAAAAGTATCTGTGAAAAGTATCCATAATTTACTTATTAGTATATATAGTAGCAATGAAACTTGTAGTCTTTATTGAATCAGTATTTGCAAAGCTACCTGTATAACAGTTTGATCTTTTTTTTTCTCATGGACTTTTCGATGTCTCCTGGTCGTTATGTTCCTTTTAGGGAACATAATAATCTATCTTTGTTCCATAGCATGGCTCTGCGTTGTAGAAGTTGCTAGCCTGAATGGGAGATGATACAGCCTCAGCCTGTGAGCAACGATATATTACTGTGGTTATTCCCAGTAGAAGCAATATAACTAGTGCCAGAACTATAAAGCAGACTTCATGGGTCCACCTTGGAGACAGATGGTGTTGGCTTCATCAGACATAGGGGAAGCTTCTACCAGCTTCTCAGAGACAACACTGTTTTAGCACCCCTGCTACTGAAACCTTGCCATGCAAACCCAGTACAAAGTGGTTTGTGAGATGTATGTGAAGTGACATAAAGCCATGGGTCTTGGGGGAAAAAATAAAGAGGCTCTACAATACTTTATTAAATAGTAGAGAGATGCAGAATAACCCTAAACCATCCAATTCCAAGGAAAAATAAACACCATAAAATCAGACTATGTCTCTTCTTTTTAGCAACAGCAGATTTACTGTTGCCTATTTGACAAAGATTTATAAATTCTTTCTCTGGAAATAGCTGGTATCTCATGCTCAAAGAATAATAACTCTTCAATAGGAGCTCAGTCCTTCTTACAATAAGTTTGTGACGGAAGCTCCCAGAATGGAACAAGCTCATACCTTCATTATAATGCAATCTTTATATAATATATAATGCAATCTTTATGTTATAAAAATGAAATCCTGTGCTCTGAAAAAACCACAAGGAATTAGGCTAAATTTCTAGAAAGATTCAAACTGTTTTGCCAAAATCTTCCTATTTCAGGAAATTGTTACATAAAGGATTAAGCCATCTCCAAACTATGCATTGACCAGAACTTCAGCACTATTGTTTTTACTGTGTTTCAGCAGAAAGTGTTCTACTCTTTCCACTTCTTGTATTATCTTGAGTTGCATTTGGGTATTAGTAGTTCTGACATTATGATTTCTTTTTTTCAAGAAAGAATTACATTTTGTATCACCGCATCTAGCTAGTTGCACCTTTCTTATCCTCACGACTTCACGTAGGGTCAATGGAGACCAAGCACAGGTGATGGCTGTCTGTGATACTTAAAAAAATCA